GTGTCTGTTGATGCATGAAGTGTCAGAGTGCATCGCTTCTAGGCATTCACGTCCATTCTGAAGACGAAGCGGGGTCTCCAGCTTCGAAAATTCACAAAATAAAAATTCTCTTTCCCGAAGAGCCTATTATCCTTGTCTATTTCCGCACAAATTATATTTACTTTACTCTTTTATTTTCTTTTGGCAGCTGTTTTTGACGCTTATGTGGGCTCTTTTTTATTTGCCCTGCTCCAGCTGCTTTCCCACCAAAAGACGCAGTCACCCTGCTGTCCAATGAAATTCTGCCGGATCCTCGCAAGCGGCGACGCCTTCGGGGCCTGGGCCTTCTGCGTTGCCACGACATGGTGCCTGGTTGCGGTCACCGATCCTACAACTTTTATGGCAGCCTTGCCCTGTTGGAGACGGCTCTGGTTACCTTCGCGCTGGATCGCATCACTGGCGCTGGAATGCAGCAGCTTTCCGTGCCCGACATTCTACCCGCGTCTGCAATCGAATCTTGTGGCTTTCCCACCACCGGCGAGAGGACTCAGGTGTGTTGTTCAGGTTTTCTGAGCGAAACTCTCAAACATTACTTTTTTATGGTAACATTTACCTCTTACCTAACTGAAGCATTGTTTCCCGGAAGAAATGTGAGCAATGCAAAGGCGACGCGGTTTGCTTTATCTTATTAATAGGCAATGACCGTATGCAGTTAAACGAAATTGTCTTGCCTTATTATTAGTAGCTATTATTCTGTATACAAATTTTGGGCGGAAACTCGTGCAAAATGCCGACATTTTCGGAGGATTGGTACTCATTCGCGAACTGGCATTAACGTATGTCCAAAATCTTTTAACTTATAGTTAACAAGCTTAAGCGAATTTAAAACTTAAAGTTAATATTAAAAGTAGTTAGTGTTTGGTTAGTTAAAATCGTCACCATGCCTTTTTCTTTATGTTAAAATAACCTTCCTTTCGTCATATTGCTTTATAGGTATTTCAGGTATTGTATTGCATTTAGTTTCAGATCGTCGTTTACTTTCTGACGATTTTTTTCACGATTTCCTGCGTTTCAAGCTTCCTTTCATAAATGTCAATTCCGTTCGACGTGTATATTTAAACCTCCAAAATGAGATTTCTTTAAAACATCAAAACATGCCCTTTTAGATATTAGTTATTATGTGGGCATATTTCTAAACACTCCGAAACACCAAAACGCATTGTCGAACAAAAATGACGTCCACAACAGAAGTATGACGTTTTTATGCCTGAGACCGATTAGAATGCTATACATAAAAGGTTATCTCTTCAAACGGCAATTTAAACAGAGATTCAACTGACGAATATATGTGTATATTACCTTTTGCCAAGGTAACGTGAAAGTGAAAATGGAGAATCTTAACCAGATTTTTTATTTACCTGAAAATAAATGACAAGATTTTGGCTACAAATGAAAGAACTTTTTTTTTCTCTTTAAACCGTAGCATTTTTTTAAAACAGTATTTTATTACTTTTAGGCCCCGTCCTAAGACTGCAAGTTCTTTTTTCTGCTAAACAATGCCATGTCTTAAAAATGACTTAATCTGATTTTTATCAACTTAAGACTAGATTTTCCACTTCCGGAGGGGATATATTTTTAATTTTTCTTGCTTATCTTATATAACAAAGAACAAAAAATGTTTAGTTCTGTTATACTAAATGGTATAAGAAATTTGTTTGACAGCCGGCAACCTCCGATATCGTCAAAATTATGTCTGTTTCCCTTTAATAAACAGACGTAACCACGCAGTTTCCTTCACGAAAAGGTTTTCTGAGCACCAAAATCACTCAACTGATTCAAAATAACAAGACCGAATGTACTCAAAACTCCTAATTCGAATTAGGATTATGACTTTGCATGAGTTAGCTCACCGACTGTGTTTTTTTATTTATAGATATTTATTATCGATGACGGCGCCACGGGCTCTAAGCGATTCTGCCTTTCTGGTACGGCAGAGATGGCCATTGCGACCTTCTGTGCCGGCAGAACTTTCAGTCCCAAATCTCCGGCAGAGTACTTCTGCGCTGCTAGCCGTTGTTATCGACACGAAGTCTCCAACCAGGAGTCCTTACTCTATCGAACGCACCAATTCACCAAGGCAAGAACCACCTTCCATTCCTTTCCACAACTCTAAGTTCCTGTTCATGGTCTTGTAGCACGCACACTGGAAAAGCACTAACATAAGGGTGAATTTCTATAAACAAATCTTGCCCGTATCAGTTTATTGAGGGAAAGATAGGCGAGTGCCTTTCAGCTACTTAATGCCTTTAATGTCATTCACTGACAAACGTTCATTCGACCGCTAACGGATCTCATCTGTCTCGCTCTGCCTGGGTTCTCGCCAGAGGCCCTGACAGCCGTAACGGCTAGTACTGTGGGCAGATAGTATTACCGGTGAAGACCAGGGAGACTAGAATGGTCATTTCTGGCTTATTAACCGTCGTCAGCTAGTCATATCCAGACTCAAGTGGCGTCCCACCTGAGCCTCAAACTCGTGATCTCTTGGATCAGAGTCAAACGCCCTAACCACTGAGCCACGAGTTCATTGTCTTGCCGGGGTAGGTCGAGGGATATTTATATTCACCCGACCACTAACGGAACTCATCTGTCCCACTCTGCCTGGGGCCTTTAATGTCTAATTTCATCTCCTCCATATATCTGTTACAGTTTTTGTGTTTATGTTTCGTAAGCAGCAACAGGAATAAGCAAGCCTGAATAGCGTCACGGATCACTGCTCCGTAATACCTACCGACCTACCGCTCAGCCTGTCTTAATATTATGTCTGGATTTTTGGTGGGAGAGGTTAGCCAAACCGTACAGCCGCCAGCATCAAACTTTTCTAATCAGTCAAATTAGTTTTTGTTGAGCATGTTACGCACACACACATTCACCTAGTGCTCCTACGAGTTATTTATTTATCTGCAGCTTAGGCGAACAACCAAGACGCCCAGTAGCATTCCCACATAACGGCTGGACCATCGATTTCGATTGTCCGCCTTGTGCCCTACGGCAGGGTGCGTGCAGAGAGGGTGACTTGCGCGTGAATTAGGCTATGCTGATAAAAGGGCTGCAAAGCATCTACCGCGTGGTGTAAAGGCTATTAAGGTTTAACTCTAACGGCTGCGATCTTCCAAGCCCAGTTCCTTGGGAGAAGGTGGGAAGGCCAGAGTGTTAGGAACGATATATTGTGTACCGAAGAGTTAGGAGGAAGTTGCTTCTCGGTTTGGCATGGCCTTCAACCGCGAGGGCCGTGTGAGAGCTCGGGGTCGTCAAAGCGGCCGACG